CTTCAAAATCTCCCCTCCCCCTACCGCATCCCAAAACCAGCCCAGCTTGTCCCCGTCTCCCTAACCTGTCCTTCCTCCCACCTATCCCCTCCTCCCACCTCAAGCCGCCCCATCTCCTACCTACTAACCTTGTCCCGCCCCCTTGACCTGTCCGTCCTCCCTGGACTGACCTATCTCCTCCCTAACTCCCCACCTACACTCACCGTTACTGGCTTCATCCCCGCCTCTTTGACCTGTCCGTTTCCTCTCCACCTATCTTCTCCTCTATCCATCTTCTATCCGCCTCCCCCTCTCTCCCTATTTATTTCAGAACCCCCTTCCCCTCCCCCATTTCTGATGAAGGGTCTAGGCCCAAAACATCAGCCTTCCTGCTCCTCTGATGCTGCTTGGCCTGCTGTGTTCATCCAGTTCTACACCTTGTTATACCAAACTATTCTAATCCCTTAGCCCAAAGCCTTGTATGCCTTGGCATTGCATGTCTACATTTAAATACTTCTGACATATTATGAAGATTTCTGCCTCTACCATTCCTTAACAGGCAGTGGGTTCCAGATTCCCACCACCTTCTCGGTGAAAAAAATGTTTTTCCTTACAGCTCCTTCTGCCCCTTACCTTAAATCTTTGACCCAGCGTTTGATCCCTCCATCAATGGGAAAATGTCTTCCTGTCTATTCCAAACAAAACAACCCCAGTCTGTCCAATTTGTCTTCATAACTGAAACTGTCCAGCCCAGGCAATATCCGGGTAAATCAAAAGAACTGCGGATGCTGTAAATCAGGAACAAAAACAAAGTTGCTGGAAAAGCTCAGCAGGTCTGGCAGCATCTGTGAAGGAAAAAACAGAGTTAACTCTGTTTTTTCCTGGTAAATCTCCTCTGCAGCCTCTCCAGTGCTATCACCTTCTCCTTATAAATGTGGATTCCAGAACTGCACACAATACTCCAGCTGTGGCCTAACCAACTTTTTATACAGTTTCAGTTTATCCTCCCTGCTCTTGTACTCAATACCTTGGCTACTAAAGGCAAGTATATCAGAAGACACCTTAACCAGTTTATCCACTTGCCCTGATACCTTCTGTTTATGTTTGTGAGTTTAAGTGAGGTCAATATTTGATTAGGTAACTGGGCCAGGAGGGATCTGCACAAGATGAAATGGTTGCACCTCATCAGAGATAAGACCAATTCCATTGGAGGAAGGTAAACTTGTGCAAAGAGGGAGGGTTTAAGTTGACAGGAAGGTGAAATCATGAAATGTTACTGAGGATACATGTAAACAAAGAACCAGGAGAAACAAGCATTATAGTGAGTAATTCAGGAACAGGAGAGATCAGATAGTGGAAATACGAGGCATGCTTCGATGGGTGGAGAATCCATGTATGTAATGGCATGGAATTGAGGAAATTCTCTTGCTGAGCTGTAGACTCAAGTAACCACATGGACTTATGATCAAAGCATCAGAAAACTGAGTCAAGCCAGGAGAGGAATGAGAACTGAATATCCTGACCATTATCTAATTAGGATAGATAAGGTAGTAGAACAATGGTGGGGTGATGGTTTTATTGATCAGTATTATTGTTAGACCTTAAGAAATGTTAATTTATTTTATATTCACTCATGATTTCTGGGCTTTGCTAGCTGGGCCAGCATTTATTGTCAGCCTGAGTAGCCCTTGGAATAGTGGCAGTGAGTTGCTTTTTATTAAACCTTTCATAGGACACCTGAGCATGGCTTAGTATTTCCACAGTCCAATCCCTCCTGTTTCTGAATTACCCATTACTTTGCTTATTTCTCCTAGTTCCTTGGACACCAGCTATCTCCTCAGTAATGTTGTGGTAGACGCACAATGCTGATAGGATGGGAATTGCAGGAATTTGACCGGTGACACTGAAGGAATAGCGATATATTTCCAAGTCAGGATGATGAGTGGCTTGGAGGGGAATTTTCAGGTGGTGTTCTCATGTATCTGTTGCACTTGTTCTTGCCATGGAAGTGATGGTGGGTTTCAAATACCTTGGTGAGATGCTGGGCCATGTGGCTGCAGATTGTGTTGGAGTATGAATCTGCCGCTGCTGTTGATGTGCATCTGTAAGCCAATCTTGAGTTGCTTGATCTTGAGGATTCATTGACAGAACACACTTGGTTAGAATTGAGGAAGTGTAAAGGAACTGTGATAACATGTATCACAGGTGAACAAACCTGTGGAAGGAGATATAGGAACAAGCTGGTAGGCAAATTGCAGAAAGATACAAAAACTGTGGATGGGTGATAATGGGGAACTTCATTTATCCTAATTATCATTGTAAAGGACAAAAAGAATATTGAACATTGACAGAATGTTGAGCACTGTGTCTCCTGCTCGATGAGGAAGTGCGAAAGCTAGTTCTGTAGAATGACATGCAGCTTGTTGCTGTGGTGGAACATTTGGAAAAGAGTGATTGCAATACAATCAGATTTAAAGCAGTTATGGAAATTGACAAGGAAAAATGAAAGGGAAGTCAACGGCCTTGTGGTGTTATCGCTGGGCTGTTAATCCAGAGATCCAGGTAATATTCTGGGGATCTGGGTTCATATCCCACCATGGCAGGTGGTGGAATTTGAATTCAATAAAATATCTGGAATTAAGAGTCTAATGATGACAGTGAGTCCATTGTCAGTTGTTGGAAAAACCCATCTGGTTCACTAATGTCCTTTAGGGAAGGAAACTGCCATCCTTACCTGGTCTGGCCTATATGTGACTCCAGACTCATAACTGCCCTCTGGGCAATTAGGGATGTGCCCTTATCCCTTGAATGAAATAAAGAAAAAAAATTCAACTGCACGAGAGGTTTCGAGATTGGCAGATTTAAAAAATGTAAATAACTAGTGGAAGCCTTCAAAGGGGTGCTTAGAAACAGACTAGATGCAATCCTATGAAGGAAGATGGAATGACATTGAAAGCTAGCCCTTCCCTCTGATTCGGGATGTAGAGATTAAAACTAAATAAGAACAGAGTCTTATGATAAATATTGAGTTTATGATTCACTATTTTCTCCCAGCGTAATCAATCAGCTTAAAGGTAGGGGATGAGTCGGGGCAGCATTAGTCTGAGCCATGAAGCTCTCCTTCAGGATCTGGTGCTGAAACTGGCCACATGGAGAGACTGGTCAGATCAGGGAATTACGTTTCAAGATTATTTCTTTCTTTTCCTCCTTGAGTGTTTTCCCTATCTTTCCTTGAGGTCACTGAATCATAAAGTGTGAACTGACTGCCAGATTCTGGGATTCCACTGAAGTATGTACCTGAATGTTACTGTTGATGATCAGAGCATCACATGATGTCATGCATTTATTACCACCAGATGTCACTGATTCATTTTATACTGTCACTGGAGGTTTTTATCGAACAACTATTTTAAAATTAAACCTGCAACTCCTTCGTAAGGTTTCTGTGTTACCAAGAATTCAGCATTTCTGTTAGTGGGAAGCACTGGCAGAGGACAATTAAATTTAATTGAATTAAAGTCACAAATCAGCCCTGATTTTAACGAATGACAAAGTCTGAGTGGCCTACTTCTGTTTCTCATTCTCACCACCTGGGTAGTATTTTCAGCAAGATAGACT